GTGTTGCTACTTCGCAGTTCATTAAACTATAAGATTGTCGATTGCTTAGAGCTCAATCCAATCAATCCATTATAATGATTTAACCACTTTGCCTTTTCAATTCAACTCAAACTTTATTTATAAAGCACATTTAAAACAACCGGGGTTGCTCAAAGTCCTGTACAGATATCACAGTTGCAGAAAATAAGGTAAAAACGTTAAAATACATAAACACAATGCAATAAAATAGAATAAAATAAGTTCAAATTTAAATAAAAATCTAAATACATTTTTTTTTTGCCAACACCTCATGACCTCATAAAAAAGAAAGCAACGAATTACTGATGAATAATTAAGACAACATTTCTATATTATGAAAAAGATTTGTTCAAAATGTAAAATACCGCCCTCATGTGGCGGTAACTAGTCACTGCACCAGAGGGGTAAAACCGCGACTGAATAAAGAAACTCCTTAAAAATTAAAATAATAATAATAACGATAATAAAAGGAACCAAACTGGAAATTCTAGCAAAGCATCGTTATTTTTTTTATCGGTTTAATCAGAAGAACAGATGATACTTCGATACCAGGGCGTAAATAGAAACTACAACAACGCGCGACAGTTGGCGTCAGTTTACGTCATCTTACGGTAGCGTCAACTGTTTTCGGCGACGTAAACATGCGTTTGGTCCAGTAGAAGCATCAGAGGTAATAATGTGGAGTTTTTTTCATAGTTTTACAGTAACTGAAGAAGTTATCACGTCTTTCATGTTTGTTTTTATTTATTCTGTAAAGTGAAGCGGTGTCTTTGATCAGTGAAAGAGGCCAGAATCCAACCGAACTCCACTGGTCGGAACCAGAACCAGAACCGGAACCAGAACCGGTGGAGCCACTGGTTGGTTTCAGTATCAGAAAAATTCACTTATAAAACATCAGATCTGCATCAGTTTCTAAATGTATAATTTAAACAGATTATTTCGACCCTGGATTCTGCTGAGAAGATCAAGCTGCTGCCTAAAGTTCAGAGAAAATTAAGAAAACTTCAAAACATAGAAATGCATTTGTTCTTAAATTGAATTGAGGTAAGGTAGACACTAATGGAACAAAACAATTAACGTTTTAAAATATATCTAATTTATTTTAAGAGTAAAACTCTTCCTCCTATTGGCAGATCGTCTTATTTACCTGCTCAGATTAAAAGTAAATAGACTTAATAAAATTAATAAAACACTAAAGTCAATCAATCATCTAATGTAAGAAACTTTGACTTATTTCTAGAAGGTTTTTTCAGTGCAGAGGAAGCTGTTTCTGATTAGTTTGGAGCCAGAAAGTTTATTCTGAATGATTTTAGTGAGTAAATAAGGTGCTGAAGGTGCAGTGAACAGAAGCAGACACACCTGGACTCCACCCACCCTCAGCACCATCACCTGTCTGCAGCGTAAAGCCTGGTTTATGCTCAGAAAGCAGCTCGTCTGCGTGTGTTCTCACCTCCATCCACCAAATCAGACCAACATGAGCTCTTATTGCACGTCCTAAAGGGAAATGTCGTATTTGGAAGGTTGAAGATCATCTCTGTTTCTATGATGTTTGTATAGATCTGTCTGATGATGCATGTTTATTATTTACATTTTAACATTAATGGTTTAATGACCTGAATCCATAGATCTATATAAAACCTGCTTTTGACCAGAATTGGGTCAGAAAAACTGTTTAAGTACCGAAACGGTTCTGTAACCGACGGTAACGTCTGTGTTTGTGGATCCGTTGCAGATGGAGAATTACAGCAGAGCTCAGGTGCTGGAGCAGCCGTCCGTCTGTCCCTTCACCAACCTGTCCGCCGACACCCCCGAGGTCCGCGTCAAAGACGGCAGCAAGATCCGGAACCTGCTGCGCTTCGCCTTGAGCCGCATGGAGGCCGACGCCAGGAGAGCCGAGGAGGAGGGGGAGGAGGAAGGAAGCCGGGGAGGTCCGGAGGAGGCGGCGGGCCGGCCGCTCTGCAGACAGATCGTCTTCAGCGCCAGCGGGAAGGCCGTCTCCAAAGCCATCACCTGTGCTGAGATCATGAAGCGGCGCCTGAAAAACCTCCACCAGCTCACGAAGCTCACCTACAGCAAAGTTCTGGAGGTCTGGGAGCCCCTGGAGGCCGCCGCCGGCCTCGACAGCCTCACCGTCAACCGGAACCTCCCCGCCATCTGGATCCTCCTCTCCAAGGAGCAGCTGGACTCCGCCCAGCCCGGGTACCAGGCGCCCGGCCGCTACGACGCCCTGTGGGCTCAGGCTGCGGGCAAGGAGGAGGGCGGGGGGGCAACGGGGCAGCGAGCGGGTCAGAGGAGGAAGAGAGGAGGAGGTGGAGGCAGAGGGAAGGGATCGGGGCGTCCCGTCGGCCGCTCCAGGGAGCCTGGAAAAGGACAAACGTAGACGATTCCGGAGCAACAGGACATGAAATGACTCCTTCAGATGTTTGATTCCACTTCCTGTTTAGTTGAACTTTTTCTCAGCAGAATGAAAACAAATAAAACCAGTTTAGTTTACTTCATCTTCCTGGTTCTTTATGGAAAAAGTTTTCACACCCATTTCTACAAGTTCTCCTTGTTTCTGGTACAACTTTTCCTTCCACTCCGAAAACGTTCAAAATCCACTGGACTTTGTTTCCGAATTTGTAGACGTTTCTCTTCCATCCAGGATTTAATTCCAAATGTCAGAAATAGCGTTTAGTTCCAGGTTTTATCCAGCAGCCCAACAAAGCCTGGTTTTAGTTTAGAAAACCTGGAGATAGAAACGGATGAACGGGTCCCCCCCTTTGGAATGGGGGTCGTTTGGCTTCTTTGTTAGCCTGCAATGCCCCATACCTGTCTATGCCTCTGAAAGGGGGGTCGTTAGAGGGAATAGTTGGTCTGGATGAACAGGTGAGGTCTTCTGTTCTCCTGTAAAGGGGTTTGGGCTTCGATGATAGCGGGAAGGAATCAACTCTATCGCTGCATTGGAGGTTTTTGAAAGCTGGAATCTGAGTTGATTTTCTTTCCTAACATAGATGGCTTCCTTCACTCCCCTCTCAAACCACCTGTCGTCTTTGTCCAAAATGTGAACATTCCGGTCCTCCGAATGCCCCCCCACCCAAAATAATCAATCCACACACAAACAAATGCCACTACAAAACACCTTGTAATTGCTCTTATTTTAGAACCATCTCATCTTTTAAAATGACACTTTATCTGAGAGAAATTCAACACATGAACATTTGAAAACATTTCCTCCCATTTTAATTATTTTATATTAGGGCAAATACGCCCTTTTTTCATTTTTCTAACCCCAAACTCGCTATTCAACTGTTTTCAACTGAAGTTCTGAGTTTAATGTTTGGTCATACTTCCTCTTTTTTCTACTTATGCCAGAGCTCGTCTCCTCTGCCTTTTTCTTGACTAAAAATTATTTTTTCCCTCGCACCACGCCTCCCCTAAATTGCTCTGGCGCCCCCTAGGGGAGGCGCGCCTCACACTTCGCCGCTCTAATGAATGTCCTTTGTCCATCAGGTCCATGGGGACTCTCTCTCTCCTCATTGTTGTCACTACCCGATCCGTCCTGCGTCATCTCTTCATTTGCACATCCAGGTCGCCCTTAATTTAATTTGGTTAAAAAGACCTAAATAACGTTTTTCATTCCCCAAAAATAGAAAATACTAAACTATAATGTGTTAAAGGTTAATAATGTGTTTCCTGAGTAAATAGATGGTCTTTTCCTGATCTAAACACCTAATAGGATGCTACGCTACTTCCAGCAGCTAACATTTTCCGCTTTGGATTTAAACATAAATCTAGTCTTTTTGAGTTTTATGTTGTCCTATTCAGTTAACATTATAGTATATAGTGCGTAATCTAAAGAAAGAAACTAAGATGCAGATAAATGTGCTTTGATCAGATTTTGGCAGACGGCTCTGATGGCGTCCCATGATGACGTCAGAGAGCAGTTTATAGATGGAAATGTAAAAAGCATCAATAATGTATCAGAAAATTCATAAAACATGTTTTTACAGATGTGTATTAGCATTCTTTAGAGAGTTAAGGATAGAAATAAGAAATTTTAGTACCATAATTACATTATTTATGTACGGAAGCTTGTTTAGAAAAAATAAAATTTGTTTGATATTCATTAAAAAAAAGTAGGCACAATGGAGTAACGCGTTAGTAACATGTTACTGGCATCACTTGGTGATAAACTCAATTTCTAATGTTTAGCGAGAAACAGTGTCTCAGATCATAAAGTCAAACCTTTATGTTTCTGAATTTACAAAATAAAAGTTGATTAAAAGAAAGGAAGAAACAAAACTTTAAATGAATACATGTTTGAGGAGATATTGATTGTTTAGATTTGTTTTTGTTATCAGGCTCCTCCGCCTGTGGAGCTGGTTGACAGTTGCCTTTTGTATCTATGCTTCTTTTTCTATGTCTGCTTCTGTCTCCTTGAACCCCAGTGGGC